GGGTTTGAACTGCCAGCCTTCTGGTTAGCAGTTGAATGTCTTAGGCACTATGCCACCAGAGCTCCTTTAAATAAGATAATGCGTGTAAATAAAGAACTTACTACCGTCCCTGTACATAACAAATGCTCAACAAATATAAGGTAATCTAATTCTGATTAATTATTCTATTATCAATACTAGTAAAAGTAGAAAGGGCCATGAGACATAACAGCCTCTACAGATTCGTGTGGTTGCACTTCTCCTCACGACTACACTTCAGGGCATGGTATCAGCAAGCTCATTGAATTCCTCCTACAGTGAGGACCTGTTGGTGAATCGTGTATTGCCAGGTGGTTCATCATCAAAATGATAGTCACTCACTTTAAATTAGCCAAAGTTTAAATTATTTATCACCTACTCAGGGACATTTACTTGAAATTCTGATGAAAAAATATTTTATTTCCATTTTTATGACTTGATTATTGTTCTAAAAGATTCTTAAGTAGGTGGTAGACTGTAGAATGGCCACTGAAAACACAAATTTATGGTCTTCTGGGCTGTGTGGGTATACTGCTTATGACTCTATATTTAGAGAAATTATTAATTTACTATCAACTCTTTTTTGAAGGTTTGAGAGGTAAGACTGGACCCCTGGGCCTTGCTGGAGAAAAAGGGGACCAAGGAGAGACCGGGAAGAAAGGACCCATGGGACCAGAGGGAGAGAAAGGAGAAGTGGGTCCTGTTGGGTCTCCTGGCCCAAAGGGGGACAGAGGTGATCAAGGGGACCCAGGGTTGCCTGGGGTCTGCAGGTGTGGAAGCATCGTGCTCAAGTCTGCCTTTTCTGTTGGCATCACAACCAGCTACCCAGAAGAAAGACTACCTATTATATTCAACAAGGTCCTCTTCAATGAGGGCGAGCACTACAACCCTTCCACTGGAAAGTTCATCTGTGCTTTCCCAGGGATCTATTATTTTTCTTATGATATCACATTGGCTAATAAGCATCTGGCGATTGGGCTGGTACACAATGGGCAGTACCGGATAAAGACCTTTGATGCCAACACGGGGAACCATGATGTGGCTTCGGGGTCCACAGTCATCTATCTTCAGCCAGAAGATGAAGTCTGGCTGGAGATCTTCTTCACCGACCAGAACGGCCTCTTCTCAGACCCAGGTTGGGCAGACAGCTTGTTCTCCGGATTTCTCCTATATGTTGACACAGATTATCTAGATTCAATATCGGAAGATGATGAACTGTGATCAGTACTCCTGATCTAACTGTTCCAAGTTCCTTGTGGCAGACACTTGATTCAGTCTGGGGCTCTATTATGTGGAACAAGCAGCAATGACATTCAAAGAAACTCTGAGTGAAATTCCAGAGCATTTTCAGAGAGTTCTGGCAGAATCTATTAAAATCAAGAGAAACCACCAAACAGTTGGGACTACAGGCAGTCCCCAGGTTATGAATGAGATCCTTTCCTACATGTGTCTTTAAGTCAAATTTGTAGGTAAGTCAGAACAGGTGCATTCGGCTCTTACTTAGCTTTACTTTAGGGCAAGAAAAGGCTCGTAGCCTTTTTTGTGATGTAAGAGCTGCACCTGGACCAAGTGAAGGTGATTGTGATGAAGAATTTGTTGCTAGTAGGGATTGGTTCAATTGTTTAGAAGTGAGGGCAAATTTACATAATATTTAAAGGTAAGTATGAGTTGTCCATAAGTTGGATGTTCATACTCCAAGTGACTTACTGTACACCAAAATGAATTTTATATGACAGTAACCCCAGGTATGCATTCTTTGAAAGTGATGTTCATAAATATTTAAGCAAATTAAAGACAATGTTAACAAAACCCTGAGTGATAAAACCAACTGGCAATGGTATTGTCTCATTAAATTTTCAGAAAAATTACATTTTGCCTGTTATTTATGAGAATCATAACACCCTAAAGTCTTTAACAATTCTCAAAAGACTGTAGTCATTCAGAAATGGAAAGTAAGTGGCACTGAATACTTAAGCAAGGCAAAGCAAGGTGATAATGATTATTATTCATTCCTTCATGCTTGTGTATATTCTTTCAACAACATTTTAATGAGCCTTAGGAAACAGCACTATGGACTAATACAGATTATATGATCACTTGAGACCAAATTCCTATCCTCAAGAGCTCCCTGCCCGGTATGTGATGTGTGTACTGTCACTATCCAGTATGGCAAGGAGGCACAGGGGACCTGCTATTTCTGGGGGTGTACAGGGAGGAATAGAGGTGCTTCCCCATATGGGGAAACATTAGACAAACCAAGGTGTGTGGATAGGTGGGGGTGACACAAAGGAAACAAGGAATTCAACATCTGTTCTCATCCCATCCCACTCTCAAAGCACCATTGCTATTTCCAGTTGGGAATGGGTGAAAAACCTAAAGGCAGAGGAGGGCTGGGAGCAGGAAAGGCAATGAAGATAGAAATGAAGAGAAACAAGTTGCTGAGACAGCAGTAGGGTGTTCTAATAATTCCTTTAGAGTAAGTTTCCCAGGACAAATAGTTGTCCGAAGAGCTTTCTCACAAATAAAGGTCATTGTTTCTTGTGGACTTGCTAGGTCTTGAATTCACATAAAGCAAAGCAGATGTCTACTGATTTATGAATGAGCCATTGGGAGGAATGAAAAGGAGGAGGAAGAAGAGAGAAACCAAATGTCTGAGGAAATACATTCTCTTCCAGCTCTCACACCTCCCTTGGTCTCACTCTGCCTTCGACGTCAGCCCTCTCCATCTTCTCCACCTGGATCTGCAATCTCTCAGCCGATCTCACTCCAGACTCTCTCTTCTCTACCCCTCTCTTGGGTTGTAGGAATCATATTCCCTTAATCCCTCCTTTGGAATATTTTCTCATGTGCATTCCTCCTTCTGTGTATTCCTCTCCTCACTCATTCATTTCATAAACACTTTAATACTTCCAATGTGAGAATTACCAAGCTGGATTCTGTGAAGGGGGAGGAATGCCAACATAGAGATGGCATAGCCCCTGCCATCACATTGCAATGGATCAAAGAAAGGAAATTATACAAACACACACACACAAAGGACATGTTAAAATCTGCTCACATACTAAATTGGAGATAGAGACAAAATACTGTTGAGGAAGAAGTATTATTTACTTCTAAACAGGGAAGTGAGAGCAGAGGTTTTGGGAAATTTTCTCTCACAGCTGGCCCATGAGATGGACAGAACTTGGAATAGCCAAAGAGAGGAAAAGGGCACTTCAGATAAAGGGAACAATGGAGCTAAAGCATGAAAGTGAGAACAGAAAGAGAACTCAGTGGATCATATCTACAAGAGCCTCAATGCCACCGGCAGTTGGAGACTATATTCATAAGGAAATGGGGTGCCTCTGTGGTTCCTGGGCTGCTTTCTACCATTATCAGAAATGAAATTGAGTTGATCAAGTGGCTGTGTTAAGAGTAATGCTTGCTTCTCCCTTCACTCACACCTAGCTTGCTCCCATTATCTTCTGCTTGCCCTACATTGTCCATTTTTCATTCTCCATCCAAGTTAAGAGAGGCATCTAAGAGACCAAGAGCAACAAGGATTAGACAAAGTTAGTTTGACAGCTGAATCTGGAATTCTAGGCTACAAAGGATAAAAAACAAATGAAGCTAATCTGGGGAACCTGAAAATGTGGGGTCTATGGAAGACTACAGAATTTGTGAAAGGAACTGGTTATTGCAGACAGTCATGACCCACAAAATTATTTTGAAACTTAATTTTCTTTGGCTTATAATTCAGAAATGAATTTCTTTGTACTTTTTCACTTATCTTTTTTCAAATTTATTTTTATTATTTTGGTACTTATGCTTTCAATGTTGCTTTCATTACAAAGCTTATTTTGAGCAGCTTCTTGAAATAAAGTTCTGTACCTGGTTCTAGGCTCAGAGATGGGTTTTATATTGAGGTTTCTGTAGGGTGGTGATGGAGAGCCAAGAGTTGAAGTGGAAAGTAAAAGTCTCTTTGATATTTAAAATGCTAAGTCTTTAAGTAAATGTCAGTGTCTTTTATTCCAATAAATAAATAATAAATGTATTTTATCTACTTTTATAAAAGTATGTTTAAAGAGAATAGGATTGCAATTTTGATGTTAAAAGCTCCAAGTCACATTCCAATAATTCCTTATAATGGCTGAAGTGTAATGAACATGTATTCTGAAAGGGGTATTGATTGTACAATACTTTTTCTCAGAAGGGTTTAAGGTCATTTACAAAGATACATAAAGTACAGAGAAAAAAAAATCAGTAAGAAGGAGAGAAGAAAATGACAGAACAAATAGAAAAAGGAAAGAGTGAGGTTGATACAAATTTGGTGTAGATGAAGATGTGTGGACTTGTGTTACATATTTACAGGACATGAATGTTTCCTTGTTTTCATGCCTGTGAAGGGCATTCTAGATCATTTATTGTGTGAATGATGTTATTTATGGGGAAAAGAGTCCATGAACTCTGAATGTACTCTGTCACTCTATGAAAAACATTATCTACATAAATTGTAGATTTCAGTTATTTGTTGTTCTGCATGTTCCTCTCCCTCTGTTTTGTTCCTCCTCTTTCAGTAAGTGTAACACTACCCGTCCTGTCACACAAATCAAAATCCTAGGGTGCCTGCCTGACACTTCCCTCCCATTCGTCACTGCTTTTTTTCCCTTAGTCTTAAATTTCTTTTCTTTTGCTTTTTTCTCTTTTTTTTTCAATTATGGTATATATACAGGTAACAAAACTTTTACCATGTCAACAATCCTCACACATACAGAGCAGTAACATTAAATGTGTTCAGAATGTTGTGCAACTAAAACCATTAACCATTACCAAGGTTATCCAACGTCCTTAACAGAAGTTTGGTGTCCCCTAAACATTGTGTCTTCCTTTGCCCCTCACTCCTCCCTGGCCCTGGTAACCATTAGTAAACTTTGATCTCCATACACTTGCCTATTCCAGATATTTCACATAAATGGGATAAAAAATATGGCACATTTCCCCGGCTACCAATGCCAACAAATCAGAAAAGGATCAAATCTGGAGATCCTGGATAGAGGATAGAGTGGGAGGGAAAACATGGAACAAAATCCAAAAACTCAATAATGACCAGGATTACTGATCAGAGGAAATTTGATGATACCCCCAATACTATGGCCCTGGAATACATTATGTGCCTGGAATAAAACGCATCCCCGGGGGGCGGGGGTGGCTCTCAGCCCAAGAGTCAACAAGATGTACATGCAGACCCAGGATGACTCACCCACATACTCTATGGAAATATATCCCTTAAAGCAATAGACCATGGGACACCAGAGGACCAATTCAAACTAAGGAAATGCTGGACAAACAGGAGTGCATAAATATGAGGGGATCAGGGGGAAGGTTACAGAGTAGGGAGGGGAGGAGACTAGGTTAGAGCTGGACATGGTGAATGGTGAATGAAACTAAATGTATGCGTTATGTTGAATGTAAAACAAGCTCTTAAAATTAAAATAAAAATTAAATAGATGAAGTAAACTCTAAAAAAAAAAAATATATGACACATTTCACAAATTTCTATTTCATCCTTTCTCAGGAACATTGCTAATCTCTGTCTTATCCCAGTTTTAGTATCAGTACTGCCAAAGCAAGCATGCCCTGGTTTTTGTTAAGTACAAAATCTTCATGGTTCTAGACTCCAAATGGATATCTCTGATTTATCATACCATGCCCTTCCCAATACCAAGGTTTAATTCATATACCATTCATCATTCTGGACTAGTAAAATACTTTTTAAATGATCCTTTGCCTCCAGCTAAAACTCTCCAATCTATATTCCATACCAGGTCAGAGACATCCTTTCTAAAATGCAAACCTGCTCATATCAGTTCCTATTTTAAAATCCAGCAATGGTCCTTCAATCCCTACAATAGAAGTTGCCTTGAATTTCTATGGGTATTACGGTTTAGCATGCATTTTATGTCCTTTTTATGGTATCTATACCTCTATTTCCCTCTGATGGATGACCATCCTTCACAATCTAAGTTTATGAACTTCTAAGTGGAACTAATTCTTCATTATGTAAATCTCGGTCTTGACCAACCAGAGCATAGCAATCCACTCACCAGAATGATTGGCTCATGGGACCCAATTAGAACCAACGAGATTTTGCTGGGACTTCGATAGAAGAACATCTCATTCTTTCCTATTGTTCTTAGGCCCATAAGCCTCTGACAGTCATCTTTCTAACAAGGCATAATATC